TGGACCTGAGGTGAGGCATGAGATTATGTCTACGATGCATTTTATGTATGTTATGAGATTGGATCTTCTTGCTGAAACATCTTAAACCAGTCTAATGACGTTTGCTGGTCTTTGCTGGTCTAGAGAGGTTTTGGGCATTTTTCACATGTGACCAGCTGAACAGTTGTTTGTCCATGCTGAGAAACCAGCTAAACTCGCTGAAAACCAACTAAAATCGCAAATGACTTGTTGTTTTTCAGCTGGGCTGTGCATTCAATCACTGTCTCGGATGCAACAAAAAAATCTACAATTTATAACGTGTTTTCATTTCTCTTTTGACAATTGCCAATTTTCCTTCCTTAATTACTCATAATCGGATACACTTTGTACTTCATGACTCATAATCATGATTAATTACCAGATGCTGCTAATGTGTTTAGATGTATCAACACTAAAATTCTGCATAAACAGTATTCACCCGTCTGTCTGTAGGGACCACCTGGAGAACCCGGCCCACCTGGACCCCCAGGTTCTCCTGGCCCCCCTACAGCCGCTGTGGATGACCTTTTTGGAACAAACTTTGACCTTGATGTCGAATCCGAGCCAGAGGAACCTCCACCTCCCCCGCCAGAGTTCAACGAGGATGAGGCAAGGCCTAATAATGGATCTGATACGGTTCGGGTCGACAGTGAGGTTCACTTGTCTTTGAAGAGCTTGGGAAGTCAGCTGGACAGCATGCGCAGTCCTGATGGCACTCGCCAATATCCTGCCCGCACGTGTCAGGACCTGAAGCAGTGCTATCCTCTGAAGAAGAGCAGTGAGTGAGACAAACCGACACGCAGTTTAGAAGTAGCTCTGAATGCTTTAGTTTTACTGACCCTGATCAGGTACAGCATGAACTGGAATACCTTTGTTTTCATTTATGATACATCTCTGTAGGAATAATTCACAAAAAAATGAATCACCCTCTTGACATTCCAAACCCAAATGACTTAATTTTAGAGAAAAAAGGAGAAATTTAAGTCATCCACTCTTATGACTCATGCTCCATTTTGAGAGCCTTCTGAAGTAGAGCGGTGAGTGAGACAAACCGACACGCAGTTTAGAAGTAGCTCTGAATGCTTTAGTTTTACTGACCCTGATCAGGTACAGCATGAACTGGAATACCTTTGTTTTCATTTATGATACATCTCTGTAGGAATAATTCACAAAAAAATGAATCACCCTCTTGACATTCCAAACCCAAATGACTTAATTTTAGAGAAAAAAGGAGAAATTTAAGTCATCCACTCTTATGACTCATGCTCCATTTTGAGAGCCTTCTGAAGTGATAGACGTCAAACCTGACATGATGCATCTTGGCATGCTGTATTTCAATGAGCTATGGAGATTGATTTCAATTTCGCCGCTCTTCCAAGCTCTTGTATGGCTTCAGAATGCTTGTAATATAACACATCATGCTTCATCATATTTTGCAGTAACCCAAACTTTCTTAAACAATAAAAAAGATAATTCTACCTGATAAGCGAGAAAAAACTGCATAAGATATCAAGTCTTCTGTTTAGAGAATGTTTTGAATGCAAGTACATTTTGTCTCATTGCACTGGCAGATTGGTTAACTAGTTTTAAGTGTAAGACTAATTTAAATGGAAAAAAATCAGGTAAAATAAATAAATAAATAAATAAACAAGACAAAATACAGTTTTATTCAAAATACATTCCCTGAAAAAAAGTTTTAATACAATATGCATTGCATTAAGGTAAATTTATTTTGTTGTAAGGATGTTTAGATATTTGACTGGAAAACTTTTATGGTGGCTTTTTTTTAATACCATTTTTAGGGCTCCTCTTGCCAAAACGCGTGTATTGTAAGAAAAAGAGCCAATAACTACTTCAAAAAAGATCAAATGGATTTGGAATAACAAGAGAAAAACTTATCGTAATAATAATCAGATTTAGTTACTGTTTAAAACTAGGGCTCGCAACAGAATAAAATACTTATGATTATTTACTCATCTACTCATTATTTATAAGAATATAAATTCACAACGTTAAAAATATTGCATTAAACATTTTATTACAATAATGTCCTTAACACTTTTGCTGTGACAACCCTACAAAATATATTTTGGAAAGTCTTAATTTTTTCTCAAATGTTCTGTAAACCACTTTGTGGCCCCGTTTAAAAAAAAAAAAATGTCTATACCTTTAAAGTCTTTTGTGTGTTTGTGTACAATATCATGAAAAAAGAAAACACTGGAGCTGAATGTTACAGGCCTTTAACCACAATCTAATTGCAGATGGGTTTAAACACCTTTTTTTTAACATCTTATTTATGTAATTAACACAGTTATGGAACACCAGCAGGCATTGTGTGAGAAAGTAATCTCCTGCCCATAAACACAATTTGTAGAAATAATTAGAGTCAGTGCATTAAACACAGTGTTCCTTAGCAGAAATAAAAAAGAATTGCCTTAATCGGAGGGTAGAAAGACAGAACCACAGCTAATCAATAAAAAACGGTTATGTTGTATCTGACAGGAATTACCTGCATGATTCCCGATTCCCATGTCAGGCATAAAACAAATACAGCATCCCACAGTAAGCATGCTTGTACTACCTATACTTGGAAACTGATGGGCGGTCATCTGCCAGTGAGCTGAAACTAAACCTGGATAATGATCCAGATCACTTGAATTAGCCCACACCAAAGATTTAATGACCAATATTCAAAATCCATGAATCCAAATCATATATGTAGAGAAAAAACACACAAGAGTTAGAATCCAGTGTGAGATAGAATAAAAAAGAATGATTTTTATGTCAGTGTATATGTGAGGATCAAGTATAAGTGACGTGACATGTGTGGCCAAGTATGGTGACCCATACTTGGAATTAGTGCTCTGCATTTTAACCCATCCAAAGTGCACACACACAGCAGTGAAGACACACACACCGTGAACACACACCCGAGGCAGTGGCCAGCCATTTTTGTTGCGGCGCCCGGGGAGCAGTTGGGGGTTCGGTGCCTTGCTCAAGGGCACCTCAGTCGTGGTATTGAAGGTGGGAGAGAGCGCTGTACTCTTGTGTATAACTTCTTTTCCCAACGTATTACAGGTGAATACTGGATAGACCCAAATGAGGGCAGCCCTAGAGATGCCATCCAAGTGTACTGTAACATGGAAATGGGGGAGACATGTATTCCTGCCAACCCTGCCAGTATCCCACGAAAGAACTGGTGGAGTTCACGCTCCAGCATACCAAAACCAGTCTGGTTTGGAGCAATCATGAACCGGGGGACTAAGGTTAATATGATTACAATGATGACCATTTCACTTTAAATCAAAAAAAGGAAATTACAAATAAATAAAGTTAAAAATGTTGCCCTGTATTCCTGTACAAATACAGTATGTGGTTAAATTTACTGTATACCCTGACCTTTTATTACTCCTCTTCAGTTCACCTATGGAGACAAAGAGACGCCAGCTAACGCTGTATCCGTCCAGTTGAGATTTCTCCGTCTGCTATCAAAGGAAGCAGCACAGACCGTCACCTATCACTGCAAAAACAGCGTGGCCTATAAAGATGAGAAAAACAGCAATCTGAAGAAGGCTTTAGTCCTAAAGGCTTCTGATGGACAGGACATCAAGGCATATAGCAGCAACCGTCTGAAGTACACAGTCTTAGAGGACGGCTGCTCTGTATGTTCAGATCTTTAACTTTATATCGTTTGACAACATTTATTATTTACATAAAATGGGAATTAGTGTTGGGGTTGCTACTTTGCAAATCGTTGACTGTAGTAGTTAATCTACTATCGAGGTACCCTTTAAAAAGGAATCTACACTACATTAAAACTTGTGAAGGGAGTATCATTTTAAATATGTATTTTAATATAACGTAAGTCTCAGTCGAGACTTTTGAATGTTTTTGAAAGAAGTACCATATGCTCACCAAGCCTGCATTTATATGATCAAAAATACAATAAAAACAGTAAACTGTGAAATATTATTAAAATGCTGCCAATGCAAAACAACCTCACTATTGTTCCTCTTTGTTCTTCCCACCAGAAACCCAACGGTGAATGGGGCAAGACCGTCTTTGAGTACCGCACACAAACACTTTCACGGCTGCCCATTGTGGACTTGGCTCCAGTGGACGTAGGTGGCAAAGATCAGGAGTTTGGCATTGATATCGGCCATGTGTGCTTCTCATGAAACCAGGATAAAAGCATCATCATTTGGACTTGAGCACTCTGCCAGTAGAGTATTTATTGTCGAACACCATCTGTAAGGGCCTCGAGGAATGTCTGACCTTTATTTCATGATTATTCATGATGGTTTCCACTAGCCTGTGGTGTACGAGTGCATGAAAGACTATATGGACCTTCTAATTTATACTTTATATACCAGGTGTTATTAAAAATGTGTGAAAACATTCATTGAAATTAATTGAAAAAGTCATGTTTTACAAATTTGATGGTGCCTTGTCTGTCTAATCTGTATATTGTTTTGAAGATGTTGTTCACTCTTAAATCACAATCATTTCAAGTGGATTTTGAAGGTCAAGTGGAGAGATGAGAGACATGAGTTTGTTTGTGTTGTATTAAAGTGGGATAGTTATTCAGGACGGCATATCTGCATTCAATTCCCCAGCAGTTCTCTTCCCAAGCCCAAAAACTACTGTTTTTTGTTGATAGCAAACTGTTGGACAGATGATTCATTTAAACTTAATTATTAATGAGAACTCACACAGAAACCAATGCTGGTCTCATTAAAAGGCTAATTAGCCCATAATACAGGACAAAGAAACATTTTTATCCAGCTTTTTACAGCACATGCCCATTTGTACTCTTAAGGGGGTCAATTCTTTGTAATGAATGCCAAATTAAAAAACATTTGAATTCATTTTCAACAGACCTCTATTGATTTTTTACCATGAATAAATGTCTGAAAACAAGAACTGTTTTCTGTTAGTAGAGTTTGTGGCTGTTAAAAAAGCACAAAGCTAATACAGTGTGCTATCCGTTTTCATTTATTCACCATCAAAGAGCAAGTGATACGCATTTAACAAATATTAAAACAGCCATCAATGAAAGTAAAAAAGGATCTGAACATCTGGAAATATAAACCTCAGCAATGATCTTGCTGAACATGAAAGACCCACCAGTTTTTGATTTTATTTCAAGGCTTATAAATCTATAAAATATTTTAGATACAACATTAAAGTTTATGATTGCACCATTACAACATGAGCAACTGCCTCTGCAACCACCTTACCTTTTTCATAATTTGGTATAAAAGATTCTAAACACAACTTTTGGCCATGAATGAATGCATCTTTGAATTTAAACAGTCTAAATTTGGTCAAAACTCTAGAAAATGTCTTTCACTTCTTCAACAATTTCTGTTATAAGATTAAGAAGTTAAAATACACAAATCATAAAATGTATGTACAATCAGCTGATTTTAGCATATAAAAATAGAAATGACCTCTACAGACCTTCTTATGGCTCCTGCTACATTTCTTTCAAACTCAATTCAAAATCAAATATTTAATGTGACATTTTTTGAGGGTTTTGTGGTCAAGAATCACAGCATATACAAAAACGTCTTTCAAAATCAGCATCGGCTGTCCACCTGATCCAGGGAAAACACCGTCCCCTCTAGAGTCAGTCCCATTTGGAACCCCTCCTATGCAAAACCAATGCAAAAGATAAACAAAACCGTGAGCTCAATATAAACACACAACAAGGTCAATGACGAAGCTAAATGAAGGTTTAGACAACACTATAGAATAACTTATATAATATCATAATAACTTATATAACATAATGTTAAAACTTATATAATAACATTATTGACATTACAACAAACATTGTCATAATGCATAACAGATTAGCAGTTTATATACATTTAAGATTATCTTAAAAATGTTTAAAACCACATTAAAGTATGTTTTACATCGCACATGTAAACAGCCCTGCAGTGTAACTCCAGCAGCATTTTTATGTTGTTTCCACACAATAGCCTTAGAAAGCTGTTCGTCTGCATCTGTGGTTGTGAAATGTTGACTTTCGTGAATGCAGCCGCAATGCATGCAGCCAATAGGAACGAGTCTCTATGGATAGTGCATTTTTTTCTGCATGCACATTGCAAAAATAAGCTTAGGGCTGAACTACTTGCAGCTGCACAGTACTGCTTATATGTGTGTGTAAAACAAGTTTATGTTTCAATTACTCTGAAAAAAAACACTGAGATGGCATGCATGCAATAACCAGCATCACACAGAATCTGCAGAACTAAACACCTGTCAGTGACATAGTTCTTCAAAGCACTTTGCCTCTGATGATTATACTTTGAAAGAACAAAGAAAGGTGCAGAAAATGTAAAAAAAAAAAAAAAATTGGGTTTAATATATTAAGAGACATACAATAAAAACCAAAAAATAGACAACACATGTCATGCTTGTAAATCAAAACGTATATCTTGTAAAACCATATCAAAACACCAGAGCACTGTGAAGTGAATCACGAATGAACATGTACAAACCATCTCTGCCGCTGAGAGGTTGGGGGTGGCATTCAGGGTGAAAGGAGAGATGAAGATAATTGAATTATTCAGGATTACAGGGTTTACAGACACATAAGTGCAAATGACACTTACGGATTCTAATAATCTCATAACAGGTACTATGTCCTCAGAAACGGAAACGTCCATAATCCTCTGGATTATTGAAATCGGAATTAACAACGGTCTATAATATAGTGGGGTGAATGCTGCCAGCCAAATACTGCATACTTTGATCTAATAATATTGTCTGCCAATCATGTTGGCTGCTTCTGCTGTTTGTATGTTTATGACACATTACTGAGAGCATTTCTCTTTCCTGTATCAAGAATTCTGTCATAATCCTACTTCAAAGCATGTGAGCAACAGGTTCAAAATTATTTACACCATCGTTTTTAGCATTCAAATTTACACACTGCGTCCAAGCCAAAATTAAAACTTTATGATATGTGGTACAGTTGTAATAAAGATTGTGCTTCAATCCTATAATGTTTAGTACTTGCATGGTATTACAAAAATAAAATAGATTTAACAGAATAAAAATAGGGATACATAATATATTATTACACATCGATTATCTGTCAATATTTTTAATCATCACATTGATCATTGACTTCAATATTGCTGCTTATCTAAACGAAAGATTAAAAAAAACATAAAAGACTAAATATGCTCACCTGCATCTCATCCAGTTTGGACTGGATGTCTGGGGTGAAGACAGCTGGTCCACAAATGAATGGATCGAATGGTTCTGCTCCAAACAGGTCTATATCTACAGCAGAACCAGATGAACAAGTAAATCATCTGTCATTTAGCAGACACTTATATTAAATGTGCAATAGTTCATGATCACCCCTTGCAACTGAAAATGCATCAAATGTATATATATATATATATATATATATATATATACACAAATGTAAATTAATATATAATGAATGTATACATACAAAAAATCTATCAGTGAAATTCTCAACTGCATACTAACAAATGTCTCCATTTAACATCTATACTTTGGCTTCATTTGTTTTCAACTCCAATGGACCCTTTTATGGAAAAGCACATTACATTAGCAATTATGGATTTTGCCTTCAGGTGCTTGAAAATATAACACATTCATCTAAGTGAGACAGCAGAAATAAAGAGCCCCCACCTCTGTCTTTTTTTGGAGGCAGGTACGGAGATGAGATGCCGTTACAGTTCAATCGTCTTGTTATTGGAGATTCGGGAGTGAATGGAACCATATCAAATATGTCAGTAGAGGGCGCTCTAGCTTGTATGCTTCCAGCCTAATAATGTAGATATAAGAGTAAAATGTGTCAAATGCATCAAAAACAGTCCAAATGTAAGATCAGACTCCATCCGTGTGATACGCATTTAACTGTAAATTCACTGTATAGGCTACATTTTATCACAATGCTTTTCTTTTTTTTAGTAAGAACAAGGTTAAAACAGTAATTCTCAAAAAGTGTGGAGACTTCCCTAGCTATTAAATCTTAACTTTCATAATTTTAATTGACTGCGTTCACTCTTAAAAAATAAAGGTTCCAAAAGGGTGTTTTTGCAGTGATGCCATAAAAGAATAATTTTTGGTTCCCAAGAAAACCTTTCCATGAACAGTTCCTAAAAGATTCATTTTTTAAGAACATGTTTAAAATCTAAAGAACCTTTTTTGACTATAAAGAAACGTTTCTGCATTTGAAAGGTTCCATGGATGTTCAAGGTTCTTCATAGAACCAATGATGCCAATAAAGAACCTTTATTTTTAAGAGTGTTGACGCGAGAAACAAATGAGGTTTGTGTTAGTTTCTTCTTTTCTTAAAGGGATAGTTCACCTATCCTCATTTACTCACCCTCAAGAGTTCCTTTCTTCCGTTGAGCACAAAACAAGATATTTTAAAGAATTTTGGTAAGCAAACAGTTGATGGTAGCCAATAACTTTAATAGTATGGGGGAAAATGCTGTGGAAGTCGATGGCTATACTGTCAACTGTTTGGTTACCAACATTTTTCAGAATATTTTTGTGTTCGACAGAAGAAAATACAGATTTGGAACAAGTAGAGGTTGAGTAAATGATGACAGAACTTTAATTTTTGGGTGAAAGTATGGCGTACACTGCAGTTATGTAAGCAAACAACATTATCCTATGCATGCCAGAATGAAATGGATGAGGAAACAATTTTCACTTTAATTATAATTGGTTATCAAACGAACTTGGAACTAAGTCTTAGAATAATGCACATCATATGGATCATCATTCCTTTTATATTGCACCTGCAAAGCAGTATTACTTATTCATCTACTTTAAACATATTTTTCAAATTCCTTGCTACAGAAAATAACAGAATAATGCAGGCCTACATATAAAAAGTTACACTCTAAAAAATGCTGGGATAAATATAACCCAGCATTTTTTAGAGTGTAGTCACACTTCATTTTAAGGTCCAATTCTCGGCCATAAACAAACCATTAACTACAACTTTTGCCTCAATAAACTACAAATTTTCTGCATATTAACACTTAGGTAGGTAGTTGTTAAGTTCAGATATTGGGTATTAGGGATGTAGAATATGGTCATGCAGACTATGTGCTTAATAAGCATTAACAAACAGCCAATATGGTAATAATAGGTATGCTAATAAGCAACTAGTTAATAGTGAGAATTGGTCCATATACTAAAGTGTTACCAAAGTTACATACAAACTATTTTTTGTCATTTAAAACTATATTTTGTTAGAAACATAAAACCAAACTTCTAATAATATAAGAAGTTTCTGTAGTTGTAGCTTACTGCTTTAATTAAATTAATACATTAACATTTATATATATTTGATTGTTTAATATTGAATATGGGATGGGGCTGCCAAAGTTTTTGACTATCAAAAGGAGGTGTCACCAAAACATTTGAGAACCACTGCATAGACAATAGTTCACCTATGGTTTGTTCTGAACAGAGCTATCCTATGGTTTCAGAGAAGACTAAATAATATTGCATGAATCACATGAACCACATTTATGGTATCTTTACGGTGCTTTTTGTCTTTTTTGTTCTCATTTTCTTTCCTAATACGGAAAAGTGCAGTCTGGAGATTCTGCAAAATAACTTTTTTTGGGGTGAACTATCCCTTGTTTGAAGTATGAAGTGTAATTTTTTGCGTACGAGACATTTACACGAGGTCGTGGCACGATGTAACCACTTGTGGGCTGTGAGTGGGTGGGCTTAGCAGGAGGCTGGGTGAGCAAGCTTGCTGATTGGCTGGAATCGGGTGAGCTGACAGGCGTTAGAGTGACAGAGGAGATCTCTAGGCTGGACAGTGATGTGACATCATCACCACACCAGGACAAGGCAGACGGCTTCTGCAAAATGTACGGCTCATTAGAGACATTAACATGCAGGTGCTGAAGAAGGGCACTGGGGGTTGGGGAGAGACGGAGAGAGAGAGAGAGAAAGATAGATTGGAATGGAGAAAAAGGGAAAAACAAATGGCGGGGTAGATAGAAGAGAAAAACACATTTTGATGAACTGAAAGAGAACAGAATCATCGAGATTGGCAGGAAAGAGCAGCATTCGACTGGAATGATAAGCATTTCCTACTGAACGTACTGGCGAGCAGTGAGACTCCATCAGCTGATCCTCCAGCTCCTTAAGCTTCTTCTTCAGTTTTGAGTTCTCCATCTCCAAATCCTGAATCTTCAATTAACATAAGCACATTGCACAAAAACATTCACATTTTCATTTGTCAATCACATGAAAACATTCTACATACGTCTTTGGGATACAGGACGCCCCCGCAGCCTGCTCACGGGATTATGAGCCAGTGAATTTCTGGTTACATTTGCCTATCTATACTCGTATTTACACTTCAAAGGAAGCTGAGTTTTAAGCGGCATACAGTATAATTTATGAAAAGGAGCATTTATGCAGACATTGTAATGCGGCACACAGTAAATGTTTTTACACTGGAATCAGAATTGGGGGAGAGCTGATTCCTCTGATTCTTCTGCACAGCCGTCAAAAAGACTGAAAGCAGCAAAGTTCCCATTGTGTTTCATTTATCCTGAAAAAGTAATAATTGTTGGTATGGGCCTCTTTCCCACGTTCATATTTTCAGTATTTACTAATGCCATGCGGATTCACAGATTGACATTAGCAAAGTTTGTAGTACACAAGACTCAAACTTGTTAGATGAAAGCTATTTATTGACAACAACCCAAATAATACGTTTTTCCCCCTTTCTAAACCCTTGTGTGCACCAGTCTACAAAAAGTTTGCTCCCCATATCCCCCCACATCCATATTTTCCACTGTTGTTCTTATTGTTCCCCCATACTATACAAATCATTTAAAAACAACTGCAAGCTTTCCTCCATGTTGTTGTTTGTTGACATTCTTCCAAGAATCAACTCTCAAACTGATGGGTGTTTCTTCAACTTCAGGCACTTTTTTGTCTCAGGGGTTGATTTTTATAAAAACTAACAGCTTTTAACTTGAAGATGATATTAAAACAGTCTTGGAAACTTTTTAGGGAAACTTTACTTCATCATTTACTTTTGCTACTTTTAAATAACTTTTATGTATATATTATATAATTTTACCCTTGTCCCAGACCCACATTCTAACTTTAACTATTAAAATTCCCTAATACAAAAAATAATTATTAAATGTGAAATATTTTATTAAAAGTTAAAAACACACTAACAATTTCAGTATTTATTGTGTGAAAATTACATGAAAAAAGACCCACAATTCTAATCACACAAAAATATAGCCTCTAATGAAGTACTTGGTTACCAGAGACAGCATGTTTGAGATTAAATAATATTTGAAGAAAACACAAAAATCAAGGTAAATATCAAGAATATTTTTTACTATAAATTAGACAAATTATGCAAAAAGTTTGAAAATATATAAGTGTATTCATGATATACATACTGTATAATACTTGCTGTGAAAATAACCTTAACAATAGTGCTGGGCGGTATACCGCTTCATACCGAATACCGGTGTTTATTTTTGTTATGATATGAATTTTTAAAATACCATAGTTCAGTATGTCGCTTAAACAACGTTCAGAAAGCGACACTGTTTGAAAGGGGTCCCTTTTCACTGTTGCACTGTCGTGAGGGAACAGCTGTATGTGTTACTAACCGTGAAAGTTCCGAAACTGAAGCTGTAGAACTAATAGAACGTGATGACACAGAAGAACTCATCCACAATATCCACATTGACCGCCACAAATATCCACCGCCCCCTGCCAAATATTCACTCATCATGACAGTAAAATAGGGCATTTTAAGTCAACATACTGCAGTATTTCCTCTATCAATCAGTAGAAAATATGGTTAACACCTGGTGAAAATATGGTTAACACCTGGTCATGCATGAAAAAAAAAAAATACCGTCATGTACCGTGAAACCGGTATAATTTAGAAAAATACCGTGATATAAATTTTTGGTCATACCGCCCAGCACTACTTAACAATATAGCAACCACCATCATTTCCATCACAGAATGCTGTTAAACATAAAATAAAACTGAGATGGAGGGAATTTTCATAGCATTCAGAGATAAATAACAATTCTCTTGATGAATCTTTACCGTTGGACAAATGAAATAAAGTGTGGGTTAAAGTGTGTTTAGTGTGGGTTAAAGAAAGCTATTTTCTAAAATTCCACAGGGCCAAAAGTGCCTATAGTTGAAGAATCCCCCTGGTATAAGTGTGTTTGAGTGAGAATGCATTCTAGGCTCATATCTACATCTCCAACATGTGAGCAATATTCCAAGAACATAATCTTACTCGTTTCTGAAGGTTTCCAATCTGTTTTCTTGTCTCTACATCTTTTCCACCAGACTCTAGGAACTTTTTGTAGGCGAGATCAAAGGCTTGTCCGATAGCAAGAGTGATCTCCTCCGCCTGGGTGAGATTTGCACATACTGCTATCATTAAGCAAATCAGGTTTCTTGTGTATGTAACTTTTGTTAGATATTACAAGCGTATTTACTTACACATTTTTCACTGTCAAACACGTAACACAGGTGTTTCTTCGTCTCGGGTTCTGTGCAGATAAAGGTGAAGATTCTTTTATCTGTTTTGTCGTCTGCACAGAAGGACATTCTGTGAAGTTGGCAGTTATGCTGCATCTCCTGGAACAGGAAAGAGAGTTGAACTCAGATGAAAAGCTCACTGGTATGACTGACCTATTTTGAGGCAAAAAGCAACAAATCGAAAACAGCCTAGAGGAAAATTTTATTGCTTAGTGGTTTATATTTTTAAGTGTCTTGGGAGAATGAACTGTGTTCTCACATGTTTCAACAATTAAGTTTATTTAACGTTTTCAGATGTTTCTCCAAAATTAACAGGAAATATTTGATAAAATTTTTGACGAGCTTATGCATAAGAGGTGCTTATTTATATTGTTTTAAAAAGTGGTAGGGATATTATGAACTCATTACATAGAGACTTGAGGCCACTATAATTCTTGCTGACCGATTCATTTAATGCGACCTAAAATAACGTTGTTTTAAAGGAATACTTCACACAAACATTAAAAATAGCTGAAAATATACTCACCCTCAGGCCAGCCAAGATGTAGATGTGTTTGTTTCTTCAACATACCAGATTTGGAGAAATGCAGCATTACATCACTTCCTCACCAATGGATCTTCTGCAGTGAATGGGTGCCGTCGCAGTTTCATTTAATCATTAAGACATTTTTAAGTTCAGATGTTTTACGAGTGTAAACAAATATGTCGGTGGATTTTGATGCGAGATGACAACAGTTGATTTTTAAGTGTTATGGATCAGAGACATATTTTGGCCAGAAGCGATGGTTTAAAGTTAAAATGTCTTAATGATGGATTTATTCATTACAAACATGCAGCTTTTCACTTCACAAGATGTTCATTGATGGACTGGAGTCACGTGGATTACTTGTGGAATATTGATGTTTTTTATCAGCTGTTTGGACTCTCATTCTGACGGCACCCATTCACTGCAGAGGATTCATTAGTGAGCAAGTAATATAATGCCAAAGTTCTCTAAATCTGTTCCAATGAAGAAACAAACTCATCTACATATTGGATAGCCTGAGGGTAAGTACTTTTTTCCAAGAGGGTCTGGCTGCAGCCTGCACTTGCACTCTCAGACGTGCACTCTCAGACTTGCATTCTCAGACACTTGTGCTTCCGCTAGCGACGTCACTTAAAGAGCTGTAGACAGTTTATTCTATATGGGAAAAAACTTAACGCGAAACTGTGCGTGTTGCATTTATTCTGGGCTCACCTGGTGCAGGCTGCAGCCAGACCCTTCTCCTTTTTTCAGCAAATTAAAATTTTTGGGTGAACTATTCTTTTTAATGAAGCAAAATTGCAGATGTTTGTCACTGTATGTATAACAAAAGCGGGGACACATGCATTTTTTGTAGTAGACTAGTATATTTATTTCCACTTGGATGTGTGATCCCTCATCTATAAATTAGATTTCATGACAATTAAGTTTGTTATACATAGTTCTCAATGGCCCACTCCCAAAATCCATTTATGGTTTAATTTGTGAGATATACTTCATTTTAAATACCCAGAAATCACATTATTTTCATATACAGCCCCAAAATCCAATAAAAGATATTTACATGGACAAATGCAGTGTTCAAGTTAAATTGAAAATGAGGTTAATGAATTGTACAGTAAATTCATTATTGAACTGTAAATGATGATTGATACAGTATACTGATGGAAAAGTGTTTGTTTCACAGCTGATCATTCTGTATGTCCTCTCACTCATTCACACTGACAAGCATTACAGCATACGTCTAAAGAGGGATACTGCAATTGTAAATTCACTTAGTGTTTGAAATTTCCCCATCTTTCCCCTTTGAGCATTAACTGCCCAGAAGCAATCCTGATGCCCAGAAGCGATCGCCCTTGGTTATTACTGATTTCCCGCAAATGTGCAGATACTGTGATTCTATCTACAACACCATCTCACGTTACACATGACAGCAGAAATGATTTCTCATGTGAGAAGGTTCTGCTATTAAACAACCTGCCACCTTTGCTTTAGAAATGGAAAATAGGCATTTTGTCTTTTGTTTGTATTCTTAAGTTAGAGTCGTATCTTAGACACTTAACCCAGTCTGTTTTCCACAATATTTTTAATAGTTATTATTCAAAGGCTAATTTATAATTAATACTACAAAAAGTTAAATGTTTTTGGAATATACATCTGAGAGATCTCATTTATGATTTTTCTACTACTGTTCACAAACATTGGCTCTCTTTTCAGATCCTGACAGAGCTATTTTGTTTTGAACAAACACATCTAATTGCATTTATTAAGTGCTAATTGGTTACTTTAGTTGCTGAATTAGTTAGTATTGGAATGAAATAATTCTGTCAGTTGTGCTAACAGCACTTAATTGGCATGACATTAAACAGTAAATGTTTGAAAGATAAGATAGCACATTTAATTTTCTGCTAAATTGCATTTAATTGTTCTGTCAGAGCAGGTGTGAGGACAGTAGTGGGGTAGTTCATGGGGCTGAATAAATTACTGTGACTTTTTTTTAAGTCTAAATTAGTTGCCATGCATGAAATCACATCAGCTATGTGGTTTTATCTTTATTCATAAAGCACTTCCTGTAACTGAACATAAGACAATTTTATACAGTATTTAAGAAAACCTACCTTGGTTTTAGGGTCCAATATCTTCACACCATATATAGAGATCTGAAGCTCCACTTTAGGAGTTTTCTGCCCCTCTGACTTCTTGATGTGCTTTTGAAACTAAGGAAGCAGAAGTGATTCAGCACACACTGGGCAAATACATACTATCAAGGGAAAAGCAGATAGAGCCGGAGGTGTTCACCATTTTTTAAAGGCTGCTGGAGAGCAGTAGAGCATCAGGTGAAATGAGGTGCTCAAACACGTCTCTAGAGCAATGCACTGACCTGCAGAAAGTCCAAGCTGGACATAAATTGGGCGAAAGAAATGTCACCCAGGAAAAGGACATTTTTATTGTGCCCTTAATCTGTCCTCTAAAAATCCCACTATGAATGAGTCACAGATTTATTTCAGTCTCATTAACAGTTTTAGTTATAAGCAGAGACCTGTGTAATGAGTGTTTGGTTCCGTTATTAAATAACAACACAGATGTTTCACAACGATATTTGTTTTCTAAAGGAAATGTGAGTTTGCCAATGTTAGGGTTGCACTGCAAAGTTGTTCATCAGCCAAAAAAAGCCACCTAAAATCTCTAAAGGTGCATCCCAAATCATGTACTTATGCACTATTCTATGCCCCTATGTACTGTAGTATAAACAGAGCGATTAGTGTATTCCCACAGAAAATTCCAAAAAGAAAAAAGTGCACTTTAAATACCAGGATGGTGCACTTAATTAACCCCCCAAAAAAAATAAAAAAGTGGGGAATGTTGGTGTTACGTAACGCCTACGGAGGTGGAACAAGGAGACGAGGAGACACAGGCGTAAACTCAAAATACAGTCTTTTAATCTTTGCTTCGGGGAAATACAGGGCAGGCAGACACTCACGTAGCACATAGGGGAAACAACTCAATAGCAGACAAAGGAATATTGGAGAACACAGGTTTTAAATACTGGGAACGTAATCAGGGAGAAACAGAAACAGGTGTGGAGCTAATCAATCAAAAACCATGGAAACAAACAAGGCAGGAGAAAGGAAACACAAAACTAAACCAAAACAGATCATAACCATAACAGTTCGCCCCTTCCCGGAACGGCACGTCCTCGTGCCGACAAAAGTCCAACAGAGGAGGGAGGGTGGGGGTTCAGGATGTGGGCGTGGGGTAGGCAAGGGGCAGGCAATGGAAAGGGAGCATAGTTCATCGTGCCAGGGCGGAGTGGATGGGGGGAGGGGCCAGGGGG